GATACCGACACAAACCATCTCAAAGGCTTGTTTTCATTCTATCTCCATCTGCCGCATAGTGTAGACAGTGCTGCCCATCTCTGCTGCCCATCTGTGCTCTGGCTCTGTCCTCCTTACTCCTTTATCTATATCCTTTGGCCTTTACAGACATCAGCACAGGGTAGCTATTCAAATGTACAAGAATATCTTTCTCAAAGAATTTTTTTAACCTTTTATTTGTTTATTTGGTATAGGGTCTCACTACATAGATCTGACTGTAGTGATCCTCCTAACTCAGCCACTCCAGTGCTGGGATTACAGGCATGTACCAGTATGCACATTTTCAGTGGCCTGCACAGTGTGCAGGACCAGTGACCAAACCAGGGTTCTTGCACTTGCCAGTCAGACACTTAGACCACTGAGCTATCTTCCCAGCCTTATAAAGGGCTGTCTTTCCACTGCTTAAAACTCTTCAAGTCTTCTTGTATTTTGTGAAATAAAGCCCATTGTTGTTGCCTCTTTTGATTGGCTCTACCACTCCCCACCTCCATTAACACTCTTGTTTATAACTTATGCCTTAACCAGAAAGGTAACTTTCTACCTCCTGAATTGAGTAAGCCGTTTGCCTGTGCTGATCCTCCAGTACCCACGTTGCAAGCACCCTGCCTTCCTTCTAATTTATGCAGTAATTGAGCCTTCATGAAGACCTTCTGTGGCTTTTATCACAGGGTCCCCTTCTCTATCTCTTGGCCTTCATCAGTTTCCTTAGCATGACCACCTTCTCACATAATGTATTTTTATATCCTCTTGCTGTATTATCTGTCTTTATTCTCTAGATGACAAGCTCTGTGAAAGCAAGCTTTCTCTTTTTTCTTTACTCTAAGTCCAATATCCATAATGCTGAGAATATGTTCAATTAACATCCTGTGGATCAATTTTTCTATCTCATCAGGCAGCAAAGCATAGAAAGTGTCTATGCCTTTTGGGGAAAGCAATTTATGTGTGTGGCACATATTTTTCTTACAGACGTGTTTCTACTTTATACCACAGCTATATATTAAGAATCACAGCAGAGATGTTTACCCAGCAGATAGGAGTGGTTTGTCAAACACAGTGCTCAGAAGTCATTAGTTCACCAATATGTACATTAGTGACAGCTACTTGAAATGCATATCTTGGCTGCAAAGATGGCTCTAACCTATTCTTACTCTTGTTTGCAAACAGGTAGACTATTTCACCCTTATATTTTTGTTTGGGTCAATTTATTGGTTGAAACTATTATAGGCCAAAAATCCATCTCTATCTGGGAATCAAAAGTTGAAGTTTTAAGATACCCTTAAAAATCATCAACAATGATCTTGGGGGTAGTCAATTTAGGATATGATAATATTCAGTGATGGAAACCTCAATATCCCTTGTACCCATTTTGTTGTTGAATAGACTTCCTTTAGGTAAAAAAAATTTACATTTGGGTTACTTGCACACGTAGGCCTTAGGCTTTGCAGTCCACAGACAAATGAAATAGAAAGTAAAGAGATACAGGCAATCCTCATTTAGTGACTGAGTTTTGTTCCTGCAGTGAGGTCATTGGCTAAACTGGTTGTGGGATAAGGAATTGTATATAATATGCATATCACAATATTCAACACAAAGACATTAGAACAAAGAACAAAGGAAATTCCGACTTGATGATTTTGCTCTTATTTGCATGATATTTACATGCAGCACTGTGGTAGTGTAACAACGTAAAACTAGTACTGCATTGTACTGTAAAACCAGATAAAATTGTAGTATTATATACACAAGGTATACTATACAAGGAGAAGGCATTGAGGCTCTAAAAAGCAAAATATATGGGACTGTACCAAAAATTAGAGATAGGATGTAAGTCTAAGCAGTGAGTCACTTGTCCCAACAGTACACCTTGTTCATAAGTTTGAACATTTTCCAAACAAACAGGTCATTAAGTGAGGAATATCTACATAGAAAAATATAAAGGTACAAACCATAATCCTTTTCAACTAGAACATTACAGTCTTTCCAGTTTGGAGAGATGTTTATCTGATTCCAGAAAACTAGGACAAGGAATACTGTTTAATTTTATGTAGAAAAACTCATAGAAAGTTGTACTGGTCATTTTATCTATAGAGAATATTTTGGTTAGTAGAGCTGCACAATACATCTCCCCAAAAAGTGCAAGCTTAAAACAATTTCATTTATTACTCAAAATACCTCTGCAGTAACTTGGTGGCTCTGCTGCTCTGAGTTGTACTTTGCTGCTGACTGGCCAAGGATAATTTTTTGCTTGAAAGAAGTCATTCCTTCATGTGTCTCAGCGGTAGCTTCAGTAGGCCACCTGCAGGGTACTTTTTCCTACTAGTCGCAAAGGTCCAAGAAAAGGAAAAGAAACCTGCAAGTGTTTTCAGAAATCTTTTTTTTTCTTTATACTTGTTGTGTTCTTTTTCCTGAACTCAGAATGAGAGAACATTTCAAAGTTAGAAGGCAAAGTACCCAGACACAGGGAGGGCATGGATGAGGCTAGAGGTACAATTAATGCACCACATGGGGAAAAAAAAAGCTGAAGAGAAGAGAGTTGGATTTAGAAGGAAAATGCAAAAGAAGGGAATGAGGGCTGGTGAGATAGCTCACTAGGCTAAAGCACCTGCTAAGGCAAGCTTAGGCAAGTCCAGGGACCACAGTTTGCTCCCCGGCACCACATGCTGTGCCAGCCACACCCCCAGGGCAAGCTGAACCAGCCGCAGAGTCTGGGTGTGTGTGCTAGCACACGCCTGTATCCCAGCACTGGGGAGGTTGAAAACAGGAGGATCACTGTGAGTCTGAGCTGCATAGTGAAACCCTGCAACAACAAATTACATTAAAAAAAATGAAAGGTAGAAAAAATCAAGAGAAAGATGGATGGCTAAAAAAAAAATATGAAAGAATGAGAGGAAGAAAAGGTGGAACATAAAACCTAAAGAAGGGGAAGTTGATGGATTGAAAGAACCAAGATACATGGCCTTGAAAAGAAAACCTTGTAAAACAAAATACATAGTACAGTATTTATAAAAATAACATTTATAATGACATAGGACTCATAGAAACATGTAATATTTATAGCAGCAGGATTTTTCAAGTAATTGTAGCATAAACTCAGGTTCTTCTGGGAGTATGGGAAAAGAAGAAATACAATAAAACAACACAGAATTATTTAGCAATGTATTTTCCAACTTAAGAGGTAAAATGCAGCCAGAATGCAACAGAGTGAAAGCAAGTGACAAACACCTTTGCAGTTCTCCTGGGGTCCATGTCTTTAACATGGGCACCTGAGGGACATTCAGCATCTAAAATATTAATATCCATTAAGAAAAGGGATTAAGGTTGGCGAGATAGCTCAGCAGACTAAGCACCTGCTCAGGCAAGCACAGGGACTGGTGTTTGATTCCCTGCACCACATGCCCAGTCAGCCCACTAAGACCGAGACCTGGCATGGTAACTCATACTTACAATTCCAGTGCTGGGGAGGCTGAGAACAGGAGCATCACTAGGTCTGATATATTTTTTTTTTTTCCGGAACCGGGGATTGAACTCAGTGAACTCAGGCCCTTGCACTTGCCAGGGAAGCACTTATTCTACTGAACCATCTCCACAGCCTCCCAAATATATATATATATATATATATATATATATATATATATATAAAAAAAAAAGAAAAAGAGATTACAGTTGGGTGTGTTGGCACACACCTGTAATCCCAGTACTTGGGAGGCTGAGGCAGGAGGATCATCATAAATTCATGACCAGCCTGGGTTGCAAAGTGAACACAAAGCAGCCTAGCAAGACCCTGTCTCAAAAAGACCAAAAAGAGGGTAAGATGGGATTGCGTCTATTAATATTGAGTGCTTAAGTAATTTACTAAATAAAATATAATTGACTTTCATTTAGCAAATGAGCTTTTAGGAACGGAAATCATAGTCTGATTTTGCTTTCCATGTTTCCATCAACCAAGTATCAGTGTAGTATATAGCAGTGTGTCATCTGATCAAATACATTATTTAGTAAAAATATCTACAGGTGCCCAAAATTCGCTTGTTCTACCTAAAGAATTTTTGGTGCACTTATTCTATGTCATTTTTCTCTTCTTTCTTCATTTATTAAAGGCAGCTTTACTCTTATTTTTATTCCTGTAAAACTGGTGATAGAGAGCAATCCTATTTCTAGTGGAGTCTTTTCCAAATGTAGGAAAAATATTTCCAAGTGAATGTGTCATTCTTTACTCTTGAATTTATAATTCTCTGGAGCCATTTTTGCTGTATCCTCAGTGTGTGCTGGTTATTTTAAAGTGCAGATAAAGTTTGTCGCATTTAGATTGTTTGTTTCCTTAAAATTCTAATTTAGAAGATACGCCTTTGAGATGTCCCCTGACACACATCAGTTTCCCTCTGTGGGTTTCAGCTCGACTGTTGAAGCTGAACATGGATTCAGAACTTAACTACATATGAAAACAACCCTATTTAATAAATAGTATAAGTCAATCAATGGTTATATAGTTAAACATATGCTTAATAACGCATGATTTGTTGTTTTTCTAAGTTTTTACATCAACTGGGCTCTGGTAAACATGACTATTCAAACTTCATATAAATAAATATAAGATAAATCATCTAAGAAAACAAACAGTAAAAGAATCTATATGCTAGAAACAGCCAGAAGTGCTTTCACGACGAAACTGTGTGAACTGGCAGCGCCAGCACCGCCGAGATCCTCCGCGAATTCATTGCTTTCCATACCAGTTAGCCATCTTGGAGGGCCAGATGGTCGCTTGTGTCTTTGCCTCAGCAAAGAGCATGCAGCTAATGTTATCGTGAGATCCCCTTGCCTTTTTTCTGTGGTATTTCTTCCTCCCTCTCTCGTCCAGCATCTTCATCACCTGATTACATTCATTAACCAGGCTGATCACACTCCCCATCCCTGAGTGAGATTCAAATCTTACATCTAGCAATCTGCTTTTTTTTTTTTTCCAGATTCCTGTCTTGGTCACAGAGATAAGTTCAACCAATCATCCAGTGAAAGTGGGGCTGTCTGATGCATTTGTCGTTGTCCACAGGATCCAACAAATTCCCAGTATGTAGAAGAAGGGTAATTGCAAAGTGTGAGCATTCTGTGGGGGTACATTTCAAGGACATTGACCTCAGGCAGGTGTAATTCTAAAAAAGAATCGCTTAGCTAGTTGCTCCTTGTTAACTCTACTGTTTGGTTTATGACTTCTATTGGGATTGGCAAGCTCCATTACTCTTGATCCAGGAAAGTCATGAAAAGGGAACATAGTGCAGAATATGCAACTTGGGATGTTCTCAATGCTTGCCTATGCTGAACAGAGATAATTACAGTATCAATATGAAAAACAACCCCGTGTCAGATCATTTGGTTGATAGGAACATGACATGCTTGTTTACATACTTTAATGTCTATCAACAAAACAGCTTTGTGGTATTTTATATTGAACAATTTTGTGTAAAAATTATTTGGTAGTCTAAAGGAAAGTGGAAAACAAGGTATAAATTCAGATAAATAAAAAATGTAAGTGAAACTATGTCTTCTGGGGAAGACATTTTTTTTACCTATCTCATCTAGCTTATATTTCACAGCAAAAAATGTAGGATTTTGGATAATTGTTCATCAGAGAAGACAGTAAAATTGTTGCAGGGTGTGAAGTTCACTGATGAGGCATGTGTTTGGCATACAAGAGGCATTGGATTTATCCATTGCACACATGCATGTGCAGGCATGCACACACACACACACACACACACACACACACACACACACACACACGTGCAGAGAGAAAGAAAGACAGGGAGAGAGAGAATGAGCCAGAGACAGAGAGACGAGAGCGAGCAAGAGAGAGAAAGCGAGGAAGAGAAGGAGGGGGGAGAGAGAGAGAGACAGACAGAGACAGAGACAGAGACAGAGACAGAGACAGAGACAGAGAGAATAGAAAACCAAAATCAAAATATTTGCTGCATTTTGTACTTAGTTCCAACCTAAACCAGCCATCTTTTGAAAGCTTCTGGTTTTTAAACCACCGTTTTACTTCCACAAGATTCCTAAAGAAGGCATTTAAGATTTGGTTCTGGAGGTGCTTATTCATGCTCTTAGTGTGTCTATTTAAAGCAAGGAATAAAAATAAAATGCAACCGAAGATCAGGTCATTTCTCTCCTTCTTGTTCAAAGTTCTTTTTCCTTTCTTTCACTAGAGTGGTAGACTTCACTTGTCACATATGTGTGATTTGCTCTTGACTCGAGCTGATTCTGTCTAATGATGACATCTCTCAAATACAGAAAGTAAATGGAGTGGAAACCAGACTTCTCAAAGCAATGGACTGGCTGGAAATGTTAGAAGGGCTCCCCTCCCTTAGAATGGCATTCACAGAGGGCAGTTCTGTTTGATGAAGATCATGCATCCTGGAATGGGTGTCTCCTCATTAGCTGAGAATTTGTGGGAGGTAACATTTAAAGCAATTGTTCAATCAAGGCAGATTTTCTAGAAGCTACATTGTACTGAGAACAAAGCAAGGATATATTAGTATGTGCAGGCAACATAAAGGCACCCTGACAGAACTCTTAAATAAGAGTCTGAGCCCCCCGGGAGAGCCCTAGCTGGCTTCTGCTGGAGGAGGAGTGCTCTCACCCTCTCCCTTTCAGAGGTGTTAAATCAGGCATGGCCTGAGTCAATTATTGCACAAGTGAAAAGAAACAGTCATTTTCATTTATTTGTTGGTTCTTTTCATCCCTGGAAGAATTTTATTTGCAGCTTGCTCAAAAGGCATTTGGTGCACATTTCTGCTCTGCTAGGTCATTGTTTAGAGAAAAAGACAAACCAAAATCCAAAGAACAATTTGACACATGTATTTTAATACGCAAATTTTGTGTCAGTGTGGTCTCTGTGATCAAATTTTGCTGAGGCTTCCAGGTCCCAGAAGGTAATTTTACAACCCCTGTGATGCTGTAAATAGCTGCTAGTGTGTAGGGTGAAAATGTGCTTTAAAATATCAATTTCATTAAATATATTGGCGAAGTTCTTATGAATTTAGAGACATATTTCATCTAAAAGTTTGGAACTCAGCATCCACCTTAAAAATAATATTCAGAGTTCAGAGGAAAATTTTGCTCAAGCAAGCTGGGAACTTAGCGTACATTCACATTTCCTGTTGACCTTACTACTCAATCCAGAGAAAATTAGCCAAGAAGGAATGGAAATGGTGACTCTCTAATGCCCCTATCTCTGCCATTACATGAGACCATATTGCAGGAATAAAATTGGAATTAATGTGTTCTGCTTAAAATTCACTTTGGGAACAGAAAAATTTTAATCTCCTTAAAAATCTCTTCCCATGTAATAAAGTACAGCCGTGTTTGTTACATGAACTTCTGTGTAAAATGAGAAATAAGATTACATGAAATTCTAAACTAGAAAAAGTGTACTTACTCATGACACAGATTAAGATAGCCTAGGATTAGCATAATACACATTTTGAACATGTTTTTTTCCCTGAGGAATAGGATTATTTCTACAGGTTTGTATGTTACCTATCTGGGTGGTCAGAGTTTAGATAAATGTTTAAATCCTTTTCAAGATTCTGTTCACACATCCTCAGTATTAGGAGTAGTCCTGGAGGGAATTAAATCCTTTATTTCTGTTACCAATTCTTTTTTTTTCCTGAGTGAATTTAGGGACCAACTGATCATTATCCTAGGTAATGGGCAACTTCATTTCTTCTGTATTTAGAGGAGCATTACTAGGACTCTGTTCACAAGATCATTTTTCTGTCCACCTAATCATTTGCTTATGTGGGTTATTAAATCCAGAAGTTTAATATAATCCAGCCATGGAAAGATGGGAATCTGAACCATGGCTGGGGAATACTTTTTCCCTGTGGAACCAGCATTGCTTTCCCTTTCTTATCAAATCTAGTGATAATTTGATAAAGCCTTCAATAATCTGCAAACTAATTTTAATAAACTTGCTAGTAAGGTTTCTCTCCACCCATACCTCACATCACCAACAACCAAAACCCTCATCAGCTTTTAAAGGCTTTCATAGAGTAAATGATTTTTTGTTGTTCTTGTTCTTGTTCTTGTTGTTTGTTTGTTTGTTTTTGGCAGAACAGGGGATTGAATTCAGGCCCTTGCACTTACCAGGCAAGCGCTTATTCTACTGAGCTATCTCCCCGACCCTGTGTAAATGATTTTAGTGCTAACTTTGAAATACAGCTATTGAGGCAGGCTTTTTCTTTCAAAAAAGGTTGGATAGTGGTACATATCATTTAAATATCAAAGAGGACTCAGTCATAGTTTAGTAAACTGACAAATGATTCGGAGGTTACAAGAGAAATTACTCCTTCCAAAGTCTATGGTGAAATCAACTCTTTCATTAAAAAAGATAAACATTAGTTACAAATCTGTACAGTATGTGGGATACTGTAAGTGTAAATATTGGTCATGATACCTTGGATACATTATTTAACTCCTGCAACTTCTTTACATGCAAAATGAGCATTTTAGGACCTAAAATGCAATTTGTATGAAACATGTAGTTACATACAAGTAAGGAGGGTTCTAGTATTTATAGCCATTGTTTTTTCCACCACTATTAGATAGTGATAATGACTGAGCTGTTACTGTGAAAGACAGGTAACATCCTAATAGGCTTGTAAGAAATTTGCATTCACATATGAGTTGACAAGGTGCCTCTGAAATGCTCCTTTTATTACTGAGAACTTATGTGTTTTTAAAATGTATCATCATAAGTTTTGTATATGTGGTCTTATGAGACTAAGTCAATTTGTTTTATGTATTTTGGGGGCGATACTGGAACCTAACTCAGAACCTTGTGCTTGCTAGGCAGGTGCTGTGCTGCTGAGCTATATCTCCAGCCCTATAAACTTAATTTAGAAATTTTTAGAAGCAGAAAAAAAAAAGCCCACAGAAACCAGTTGTTCCACTGTACTTAGATATGACAAAGAAATAAGCTTCATATAATGACTTTCATTATTCATCTCAGAAATCTGAGCATAAAATGACCTTATCACTAATAGACATGTAATATACTCTAAATCAGGATAACATAAAATAACAGAAAGCTTGCAGAAACTTTGAATTATCTCTAAATCTGTTAGAGTTAGCCATCAATATTTTCACTTACCCTGTCTAGTTTTTCATCTCCAATGCATACACACAAAAATGCACACATGCTGAAACTGTCCTCGTGTAAAAATATATTTTGGCCTGATTTCCTCTCAAAATATACTATATTTTTTCCTAGATTGTTTAATGCTTGCCTAAATGATACTATTAATGGTTAAAACACATTTCTTTCATTCATAATGTGTACAAATGTTTTCTTCACATGTGTTGCTTCTTATATTAACAGCAAAACTATGCTGAACATCCTTGTTTTTAAATCTTACTCATATCCAATTGTCAGAAAATGAGATTGAGAGGTTGAACATTAGCAGTGTGTTGCATATGTTGAAAACTTTCTTTCCATCAACATTAGATAACCCACGTCCCCATGTGCTTTTAGATATTATTATCATTCATTTTAAATTTTGCAAATTTGATAAGAACATGGTATTTCACAATTGCTCCAGTAGTCTTTTATGAGAAAACATTAACATTGTCATAGATTTATAGATCATTATAAATTCCATATTGTTCTCCTGAATGGTTCTGTTGAGTAAATCTTTCTTAGCCTCTCTTCATATCCTTCAAAGTCCTTTTGCACAGTACTTGGAGGTCTTCCTGCATATGTGAACACACTAGTACTGCTTCCCTTTATTTTTCTCACCTCTAATTTAATATTTTGAATTTCAATTTTAACCTTTGAGTTGCTGAGCTCCTGCTGAATTTACAAAGCACAGCATTAGGGCTGACCAAATAGCTCAGTGGATTAAAGCATGTGCAAGCAGGCGCAGGGGTTGGGCGTTCAACCCCCCAGGCCTGCCATGCCGACCCTTCCCTTGGTACATGCTGAGACTGCAATTGAGTCTGAGCATGGTGGCACATGCCTGTCATCCCAGCTCTTGGGAGGCTGTAAACAGGCGGATCACTATGAATCCAAT